AATTGTTTTCAAGCAGGATTATGGTCTATTAAAGAGACTGCTAAAGATACGAGTCATTTGTGCAGGTGTCGTCATGCTCTGGTGGATTTATCCCTCAATCTTGTATGTTAATAAAAAATAAGTCGAATATTCTCTTCTGATTTAAAATTTTTTATTGCTGTCCAAATTTATGGCTTCCCCTGTAGGATATTGATAATATGTTTCTCTATTACTCTTTGGCTTGCTCGAGATCCGCGTTTCACTGCAAAGTCATAAGCTGTCCATCCTTCGGCATTTTGCAACGTCAAATCAGCACCCCATTCAAGAAGCAAGGAAACGATGGCAATGTGGTTGGCTGACGTAGCGAACATCAGAGCAGTGTTGCACAATTCGTCGGATACATCCACGGGAATACCGGCTCGCAGAAGGTAGAGCGCAACGTCGTAGTGGCCTCTGCTTGCAGCCAAAAGAAGCCCGTTTTCCCCATTGTCACCTGTAAGCATAGGATCGGCCCCATGGTAGAGGAGTAGCTCGACCGCTGCCTTTTGACCATTAGCACAGGCCCACAAATATGGAGTAAAACCCTAAAATAAACAAAAGGAAAGATTTGATTTTTTGCTCGCGGAAAGAGCGTCTCCAAATTTGAAAAAGCTACATTTTATTTTACTTGATTTACAAAGCAAGTCGACATTCCAAACTTCTGAGGGATCCTCATTTTAAGGAATTAAATATTGATAGAACTTAAGAGGCGCTTAAATGACGATATAAATCCGAACTGGGTTAGTCTCGGGAAAGGAATGCATTGGTTGGGGATAATTTAGAATGGCGGCGACGCGTGTCTTACTTTGCTTAGCCCGTTCGACACGATGGAATAGCTGAACTGAAAAAAGTAGAAGCAAATAAGTCCAGATTGAGTCCAACGGAGTGGTGGGTTCTAACCTGTCGGTCGTCGAGGCAATCGCGCCCATTTTCTCCCAGACTTACGGTTTGGGGCTGTTGGCTGGTTGGAATGTATTGACTAGATGCAGAATGTAGGGTTAAATGTGGATTGTGACTGGAGGCAAGCCAGGAGGGCCCTACTTTCATGGAGTTGATCCTCATAGTGCAGTCACAAGTAATTAGTTTAAGAGGAAATCAAAGATTACATGGTCTTGAACGTTGGTCACTCAGCAGTGTTGCCGAATAACGACCCAACAGGAGACTTGAGAATAATTGCAGACCGAGACAATGCACGAAAGTTGCGGCCCAAAATACAGTGGCTAGGAGGTTCACAATGGGCTTACCATCCCATAATTATGGGCAGAGTATGCTTGGCACAAAGGATACAAACAAGACCCAGGGAATGGGCTCCCTGTTTACATATCCATAATTGTCATAAAACCGGGGCGAATATCGGACTGGGTCGGATATACCTGTCACACTAAGTGCATGGGAGGCTTATTTTGTAAGATACTACAATGTACGGGTAGGATAGCTATAAAAACATTATTAAAACCTATCAGGGGCCATCGGAAAGTATATACGCTTATACCGAATTAAATAATTATTCAAGCAGTCAAGCTACACATAGAATGAGCTGCTCACAGTTCTTAGCAAGAAATGTTTTGGAAAAGGGACTGATTTCCGGGAGATTTTGGACTCACTGCGTGCGGTGCGCACAGATTTTCAGCGGTATGCAGGCTAATGAATGGTTTTATATGAATAAAAAAAATTGGGTCTTCCATCAGGTATTCATTCCTATATGAGTCAAATCAGTTTTATGAACGATAGTATAATCTAGTAGAATTGATCGATAAGTCTACTAATAACAGGCACCGAACCAAGATCACGAAGAACAACCAAATTGCTTGGATTAGCATTTACCGTGCACAACTAATAAAACATAACGAGCGGTGACAATGCCCATACATTTGTCTGGACAGTCCCTCACACACAAAAAACGAATAAAATAGATGTACATACATTTGCATCCTGAGTGTCTACAAAGAACCCGGGCGTCCCGAGCTTTGATTGAAGCATAATTAGTTCACCCTGTGCAGCCATCTGAAAAACGGTTAAATCCCTGCACGCAGACGGAGCAAGAGTTTGGACGTTTCTTCTTTGTACATTAGTCAAAACTGTCGAAATTTTATTCGGGGAAGGGCTCGCATATTTTTTTTGAGCCTTAACGACTAGGAAATCAGGGGCAGGAACAACGACCCTTGAGACACCGGACGACATAAAGACAAAATGAGCGGCATAAATACATTTTAAATAACTCTTGAAATAATTAAAGCAAATAAAACTCAAAAGAGATACTATTAATTGATCATTATATATGAGCATTTTTCTACTTAGATCTTCCGCATGCTCGCTTGATGTACCTCGCTTCTCGGTATGCCTTCTGTTTCCCAGGTTTTGTATTCGCTTTTCTTTGATAAGCTTAGCGCATATATATATTTGCGACTGTTTTGCATTTAAAAAACTCACGGTAAAGCTATTGTACCTATTACAATAATATTCTTAGTTGTCATTTCTTGTTCTAAGTACAAGCCTGGCACCACATTTTGCATATGCATGTAATTATAGCCTTTCCTACTTTATTCTTTTGTAGTCGCATGCATTTATGTGCTTATATAATTTATGTGATAGTTTTTCTACGGCTGGTATACGTATGGAGGAATTTAGCCCAAAAATTATTTATAATTGAAACCAAATGTGCCCTAACCAATTATATTATCCTCTTTATATCTTTATTTCTGCCTGTTTCTACTTGTATGAGATTATTTCACCCAAGAAAGCTTGAGGAATTGGAGCCTAATAGAAAAATGACCGCCGTATTTTTATATTTATATTTGCTTCCTAGCTTTGTAAGGTCCCGACATTTTCTTTTATTTCATAGGCTCAAAGAGTTTATATATTTAGACTTTCTCCTTACCAAGTGCGAATTTTGCTTAGTTTTATGCTTTGTTATTATTTTTCAAAACAAATGGCCCATTTTTATAACAGGTTTTCTCCATATAAACCATCTCATTTGTAGCCACATTGTATTAAAATTATTTCTATCAGTTAATAAGCAAAATGTTGTGTATTTCACTTAGACCGCACGTAAACTGCAGTTTGGGATCCCTATTGAAGTCCCGAAAAAATTTTCTTATCTTTCTCATTGGGCTAGTTCCGGTTCATCCTGATTACTTTAGAATTATTGCTTCTTTAGGATATTCGTCGCTACCTCTAGACCGTATAATAATGTAATTGATTTGAAATGTTTGCCTTTTCTATCCTAACTCCGGCTCTTTTTATCTTCACCTCATATTTGCTTCGATATACATATAGCAGGCTTATTCAGCTAGTCCTCATCCTTGTGTAATTGTAGTATCTGTGATGTTTTTAATTCTCTATTATCTGTAAATTATGCCATTTTTTATCCTCATTCTTCAACTCCACTCTGATTATCCTTGTTGTTATCTCACTACTTGGGCCAGAACTAGTGCTTTTGAAGGAAACCCTAAACTTAATTTACTTATAGCTAAATTTTTATTAGGGCTTGAAAAGGTTGTTGAATACTAAGGAATCTGAATGTCTATGCATAAACCTAGCACATTATAGTTAAAACCTAGTGAAACATGCTATATTTTGGGACACATTTGAGATGAGCGAGCCGCGTCCATATTGAAGAAGAAACCGGAGATGGCCTTTCAGTAAACACATAAGACCTAGTCACATCCACTTTTAAAGAATCTCCGACTTCCGTAATGTTTTCCGAAATCAGACTATAGCTCTCTTCGTGCTTAGCTTCATACCAAAAGTTAGTGCATCACTATTCACATATCCATCTTATTTTGTTTTAAAAATCATTCTAATAGTCAAATGAATAAAAATGTGTGGGTTATTTGCATTATATAGATTAAATTGTTTCTGGGAATTAGAATAGGCTTTTTAATAATTTCTTGATTTACGATAGTCGATCGTAGATATCAAAACCAAGATAGTGTGGTCGCAGTGCCCTTTATCTATATAGTGTTGGTTTGACTATCCAATCTTGGCGAA